GGGGCCCCCCAGGGGCCCCCGGGGGCCCTCACCAACCCCCAGCGGCCCCGAAGGGCCACAAGGGGCCCCTCGGGGGCCCCCACGAGCCACCAGGGGCCCCAACAGGAGCCCCCAGGGGCCCCCGGCGGCCTCCAGGGCCCCGCCGTTCTCGTACGCATGCAGGGGGGGGCCCTGGGTCTCCACCAGAAGAGGGCTGAAGCCCCAGAGGGGGCCCCTAGAGGGGGCCCACAAAGGGGGCCCCTCTAGGGGCCCCCTCTGTGGGAGCTTCTTTGCTGCTGGGGGCCCCTGCATCTCCTCATTTGCTGCTGGGAAGCCCCTGTGTCTCCTCTTTAGTTTCTGGGGGGCCCCCGTGTCTCCTAATTTGCTGCTGGGGGCCCTTGTGGCTCCTAATTTGCTGCTGGGGGGCCCCCTGTGTCTCCTAATTTGCTGCTGGGGGCCCCTGTGGCTCTTTAGTTGCTGCTGGGGCCTCCTGTGTCTCCTTTCACTTAGCTGGCTGCTGCAACTCTGTGTACGCTGCAGCACCCCGTTGATGCTGCTGCTGCTGCTGCTGCTGCCTGGCTGCTGCAGCAAATTGGCCCTGCGCACTGCAGCTAGCTAGCGCTAGGCGCTCTAGCTAGCTGCAGCTAGCCACAGCTATTCACTGCTGGCCGTGGCTAGCTGCAGCCAGCTGTTCCTAGAGCCCCAGCTAGCTGTAAGTGGTTCTAGCATGCTCAAGCTAGCTGCAGCTAGCTGCAGCTAGCTGCACAGCTTGCTTCAGCTAGCTGTGCTGCAGCTGGCTGTGCAGCTTGCTGCAGCTAGCCATAGTTTGCTGCAGCTGACCGCACTTAGCCCTAGCCGGCCCCAGCTAGCTGCAGCTAGCTGTGCAGCTAGCTGCGCACAACCGCAACTAGCTGCAGCTAGCCACAACTAACTGCAGCTAGCCACAACTAGCTGCAGCTAGCTGCAGCTAGCCACAACTAGCTGCAGCTAGCTGCAGCTAGCCACGACTAGCTGTAGGTAGCTGCAGCTAGCCACAACTAGCTGCAGCTAGCTGAAGCTAGCCACAACTAGCTGCAGCTAGCTGCAGCTAGCCACAACTCGATGGGCGCCGCCCCAACCAAAAAGGCAGAGACAGCGAGCTTCAGGTGTACGTACACCCCAAGGTGGGGCTGAGGCCTCAGGCTGTTATCTGTCTGTACACCTCACACCCCTCCTCGTGCCCAGTGCTGCTGCTGCTGCTGCTGCTGCAGGGCTATGTAGCTGCTGCTGCCGCAGTGCTATGTGGCTACTGCTGCTGCAGCACTACGTGGCTGCTGCTGTTGCACCGTCACATATGTATATATGGCTGCTGCTGCTGCCTCAGTGCTATGCAGCTGCTGCTGCCGCAGTGCTATGTAACGCTTAGTGGCTGCTGGTGCTGCAGGGCTATGCGGCTGCTGTTGCTGCGGCGCTATATGGCTGCTGCTGCTGCTGCTGCAGCGCTGCTAAGCTGCTGCTGCTGCTGCTGCAAATAAATGAGCCTTCACCTACGCTGCGTGCCTGTGGCCTGCTGTTTTGCTGCTAGCTGCAGTTCCATGTGTCTCTTTTAATTAAATTTTCCTTTATTTTAATTTCTTTTTCTTTTGTTCTAATTTATTTTTCTTTTTTTAATATATTTTGTCTCTTTTTCCCTCTTTTTGTCCCTTTGTGGCTCGCTCGTTCGGCACAGCTCTGCTGCTGCTGCTGCTGCTGCGCTGCAGCAGCCACTGAGAGCAAAAAGCAGCAAAAGAAGAGACTGTTAAAAAACAAGTCAGCAGCAAGTAGCTGCCAGCGGGGCGGCCGCTGCCCCAACTCTGCATTGCCGCTGCTGCTGCTGCCACTGCAGCAGCAGCAGCGGCAGCAACAGCAAAAGGGGGCGGCCGAGCAAACGCCTAGTCGTCCATGCGCATATGCGACCTGCAGCAGCAGCAGCAGCACAAGCAGTTGCTGCTGCTGAGGTTTCCTTGTCCTGAGATTTTGGGAAGCGGCAGCAGCAGTTCCAATAGAGGAAGCAGCAGCAGCAGCAACGGCAACAGTGGCGGGGCTGAGGGATACGTAAGCACCAGCATCCACAACCAGGCGAGGGGCAGCAGCAGCAGCAGCAGCAGCAGCAGAGGCAGCAGCAGCAGCAGCAGCCCGGTTTTCGCACAGCATGTAAGTTTCAGAAGGCTGTATGTGGTCCATGCGGATGACCTGCTCGTCCAAGTTGGCAGCGCTCAGAGCTGCAGACAAACCGCAGCAGCAGCAGCAGCAGCAGCAGCAGCAGTAGCAGCAAAAGCTCACGCAGCAGCAGCACCGGCTATAGCTGGCGCAGCACAAGCAGCTGCAATAACTGGCGCGGCAGCAGCAACTCGGGCAACAGCACCAGCATTAATTGGGGCAGCAGCAGCAGCAGCAGCAACGGTAGCAGCAGCAGCAGAAATGGGACTCACCAGCAGCTATTTTGGCCTGACGCCGATCCCACAGCTGCAGCACGAGCCCTGCAGCAGCGCAAGCAGCAGCGCCCCACCAAGCATAACCCCCTAGTACAGAAGCAGCAGCTGCAGCGGCAGCAGCAGCTGCAGCAACAGCACCAGAGTCTTTCCAATCAATAGATGCGCCTCAGCAGCAGCGGCAGCAACAGCAACAGCAACAGCAGCAGCAGTAGCAAGACCGACCTTTTTCTTTTTCCCATAGAACTTCTGTCCCTAGCGGCTGCACTCTGCGTGAAGCAGACACAAGGCATAATAAAGGCAGCAGCTGCAGCAGCTGCTGCAGCAGGAGCAGCCGCTGCTGCGGCTACTCTGCAGCAGCTGCAGCACCGGCAGCAGCCGCAGCGCGGCCGCCACCGACGATTCACTTTGTGGGCCCACACAGGCGATGGCAGCTGCATCAGCAGCAGCTCTGCTGCAGCAACAGCAACAGCAGCAGCACGAGCACCAGCAAGAGCAGCAGCAGCAGTAAGAGCAGCAGCAGCGGCGTACAGGGGGTTGAAGAGCAGTAGCCTGGCGGTTTCGAAGAAGAAGACAGGAAGAGGCTCGAGGCCTCTTTTTTGTTTTTCTTCTTTTCGCAAAAAACTTTTAATTTGATCTGCAAACAAAGCAGCAGCAAACAAAGCAGCAGCCAGCAGCTGTACGTACACCTCCGCGCCTCTTGCGCTGCGCCATCTGCCATCCGCCAAACCTCTGCTGCACTCTAGCAGCAGCACCAGCAGCAGAAGCAGCAGCACAGCCCCTTGCAGCAGCAGCGCAGCCACTAGCAGCAGCAGCAGCACATCCCCTTGCAGCAGCAGCGAAGCTCTTAGCAGCAGCAGCATCAGCAGCACATCCCCTCGCAGCAACAGCGCAGCCCTTATCCTCATTGCAATCATCAACATCAGCAGCAGCAGCAGCATCATCACCAGCAGCAGCAGCAGCACAGCCCTTCATCATATGAGCAGCAGCAGCAGCAGCAGCCGTAGCAGCAGCACAGCCCCTCACAGCAGCAGCAGCAGCACATCCCTTTGCAGCAGCAGCAGCAGCACAGCTCTTCGCAGCAGCACCACCACCACCACCAGTACCATCACCACAACCAGCACACCCCCCCGCAGCAGCAGCAGCAGCAGCAGCAGCAGCACAGCCCCTCGCAGCAGCAGCAGCAGCACATCCCTTTGCAGCAGCAGCAGCAGCAGCACAGCTCCTCGCAGCAGCACCACCACCACCACCAGTACCATCACCACAACCAGCACCCCCCCCCGGAGCCGCAGCAGCAGCAGTAGCAGTAGCAGCAGCAGCAGCAGCAGCAGCGGCAGCAGCAGCAGCACGGACCGGCCTGGAGAAAGGGGGGCAGCATGACTCTGGCGACGCGGAGTCTGCTGAGGACTTCTGCTGCCCAGAGCGGCAGCCAGAGAATGTCTCCTGCTGCTGCTTCGGGTGTACATACACCGTCGGTCTCGAGCAGGTCCAGCGGAGGAGCAGCAGCAGCAAACAGACACGGGACGCAGTGTGCTGCTGCTGCTCGGTGCAGCAGCAGCGCGTCCAGGCAGAAGCTGCTGCGGTCCTCCGGCCGAGACAGAAACACCACGCTCCTGGTGCCCGCACACCTAAACCCTAAACCCTAAACCCTAAACCCTAAACCCTAAACCCTAAAAGCTACGCCTGGGGCGCCGTGGGTCAACACACGCAAGACGCGGCCTACGTAAACCCTAGAGGGTCCGCCCGAAACCCTAACCCCTAAACCCTAAACCCTAAGCCCTAAACCCTAAACCCTAGACCCTAGAGTTACCTTCTGAGGGGCCAGATCTCCACGAGTTCCTCGGCCTGCTGCTGCATTTCGTGGACCAAAGCGCGTGCTGCTCCTCTTGCAACAATTGCTGCTTCTGTGAGGTCCTGCTGCTGCAGCTGCATGACTCGGGAGTGGTTTGCTGCAGGGGCTGCAGCAGCAGCAGCAGCAACTGCAGCAGCAGCAGCAGCCCTCGCGGCCCCGGTCTCTGCTGCAGCAAACACTGCAGCAGCGTCGCTCCGCACAGAAGCAGCAGGCAGCGCCAGCAACGGGGGGGCCCCACTCCGGGCTAAACCCAAACGGGGCCCCAGGGGGCCCCCCGGGGGGCCCCCCTCTGGGTGGGCCTCAAACAGCAGCAGCAGCAGCTGCCGCAGCCGCTCCCCAAAGGCTTCATAAAGTGCGCCCTGCAGGCCCGGCAGCGTCCTCGACTGCGCCACGCTACGCTGCAGCAGCAGCAGCAGCAGCAGCAGCAGCGGCAGCAGCACACACACAGGAAGCACCAATCCTTTTGCTGCTGCTCCCACTCGCGGCTTTGCTGCTGCTGCTAAGTGATCCCTAGCAGCGAGGCGTCGCACTCAGCGGCAACGCCCCGGTGCACTTCCCTACGCAGCAGCAGCAGCAGCAGAAGCAGCAGCAACAGCAGTACGAGCAACAGCATGACAGCACCACAAGCAGCAGCAGTAGCAGCAGCAGCACGCGCAGCAGCAGCACCAGCAGCAGCGCACATCTAGGAGGTCCTCGAGCGCTTCAATGAGTTCTCTGTCTGCTGCTAGTCCGCCCCCTAACCCCGTCAGAGACAGCCGAGCCTTCTGCAGCAAAACAGCAGCAGCAGCGCAGCAGCAGCGCAGCAGCAGCAGCGCAGCAGCAGCGCAGCAGCTGTACGTGCACCTCGCGCTGCAGCCTGCTGACGCCGCAGCTCCCTCTGCGGCTCTTCGCCGTCCCAGGCAGCAGCAGCAGCAGCAGCACCAAAAACAGCAGCAGCGATAGCAGCAGCAGCAGCAGCGACAGCAGCAGCAACAGAAGGACGCACGGCAGGCAGCTGCACGGCGAGCAGCAAACAGCGAGAATTGTCTCTGGGGGGAATTGGAGGCAGCACAACAGAGGCCCCAAAAGGGACTGAAAAAGCTGCTGCTGCAGTATACTCGGGGGGCCCCTGAGGGGGGCCCCCCAAGTCCCCGGGGGCCCCCTGAGAGCCGGGGGGCCCCTGGGAGGGGCCCCCCAGGTTTTGGGACCAAGAGGGGAAGGAGGACTGGCTGCTGCTGGGGGTGCTGGGGCCGCCCAGTCCTGCTGCTGCTGCTGCTGCTGCTTGGCTGCTGCTGCTGCTGCTGCTGTCCGCAGAGTCCCCCTCGCTAGGCCGACGGCGCCGCCGCTCCGTAAAAAGAGCAGAAGAAGCAACAGAAGCAACACTGTCCCTTCTAAGGTGCGAGGGGGCCCTTGCTGCTGTTCTGCTGCTGCTGCTGCTGCTGCTACTGCTGCTGCTGCTCCTGCTGCTGCTGCTGCTGCTGGCGTGGGGCTTCGGGCGGCTCTTCTTCCGTCGGGCGAGGAAGGCCAAGGGGTCCTCTTCAGGGCTGCGCTTCATCGTGCCTCGAGGCTGCTGCTGCTGCTGCTGCTGCTGCTGCTGCTGCGCGTTCTGCTGCTACTGTGGGCGGTGCTGCTGCTGTGGTGCGCCGCTGCTGCTCCCTCTGCAGCATGTGCAGCAGCAGATCATCCCCGGCATGTCGGTGTGCGGGAGCAGCGGCAGCAGCGGGAGCTTCGAGACACTTGCTGCCGCTGCAGCAGCAGCTGCAGCAGCTGCAGCAGCAGCAGCTGCAGCAGCAGCCACGAGCGAGGCCCTAGAAAGTAAGCTTTTGAGTCCTTGTGGCGTTAAGACAGAAAGAGGAAAATGAAAAAGATAAAAGAAAGGGGAAGACGCCGGTGGAGCCACCCGAAGCAACGCAGCAGCACCAGAAGCAGCAGCAGCAGCCCCAGAAGCAGCAGCAGCAGCAGCAGCTCACGAGGCAGAGCGCAGCAGCAACAGAGCAGCAGCTTATACGAGGGGGCGTGAAGGGGCAGAGTGTTGGCCAGGTAGCTGCCGGGGCAGTTCAGGTGTACGTACACCCCAGGCCCTGCTGCTGCTGTTGTTATTGCTGCTGCTGCTGCTGCTGCCAGCAGCAGAAGGCAGCAAAAGCCCGACGGCGGGGAGTCTGCGGGCGAGGGAGGCACGCACCCACGGGAGACCGCTGTCGCTGCTGCTGCTGCTGCTGCTGCTGCTCGTACTTGCACTGCCGGGTGTATGTACAGCAAATACCCATCGAAGGGGGCAAAAAGGGCTTTATAAAATCGAAAATGAACAAATTAAAAGAAACAAACCAGCGGAAAAGGCTTACTGGCGGGCAGCAGCAGCAGCCGCAGCAGCAACACGGCGCCCCTGTCTTGGGCTTCCCGCGCCGCTTAGCTGTACATACACCCCAGGGACTTGGCCAAAAACGCCACTTTTTCTCCAAATTAGTTTTTTAATTTCAATTTAATTACTTATTTGGCTCAACTCGCTAGCCGCAGACACCTGTGGCCGTTGGGGCCTGCTGGCTGCCGACGCCCAGCCCCCAGCCCACGGCTTTGCCGCCGAGTTTTCTCCTTTTTGACCCCTCAAATGAATTTAATTTGTTCAATTTTGCATTTAAATGCCTTTTTTTGGAACGCGGTGCACTTTTTTCGGCGCAAAAAGATAAAAAGAGGGCCGCTGCGCCCGCCGCCGCCCTCCAGCCGCCACGCCTGTGGTGTACGTACACCCCAACACCCCTGCTGCCCCGAGGTGTATGTACACCTCAAGCGCTCCTGCGCAGCAGGGCAGCAGCAGCAGCAGCAGCAGCCAGCTGTAGGCACATCCCAGCGCTGCGGCGAGGGCCAGGGGACCCCACAAACCCCACAAAACGTTGCTGCTGCTGCTTCCTTAAGTGCTGCTGCTTCTCTTTTTGTCTTTTTGGATTTGCTGCTGCTTCCCCCTTTGTCTCTTCCCTCTCCTCGGGCTGTCTGTACACTTCAAAATGCCGCAGTAGCATCCCGCGCGGAACGCAGGGCTGCTGCTGCTGCAGCACCACCTGCTGCTGCTGCTGCAGCGGCTGCTGCTGCAGCTGCTGCAGCAGCATGCACTCACACAGAAGCAAATAAAAGAAGACAGCATCAGCGAAAGACACGCGAATGGAAAGAAACTTTAAATGGTCTTCAGGGGCCTCCCTCGGGAGTCCGTGGCAACCCCGCTAGCTGTGGCTAGCTGTAGCTAGCTGTAGCTAGCTGTAGCTAGATGTAGCTAGGTGTAGCTAGCCTTAGCTAGCTGCAGCCAGCTGTAGCTAGCCTAAGCCATCTGGAGCTAGCCTTAGCTAGCCGCAGCTAGCTGCAGGCAGTAGCATGATCGGCTGCAGCCAGTTGAGTCGCTAGCTGCAGCTAGCTGCAGCTAGCTGCAGGTAGTAGAGCAGCTAGCTGCTGCCGGCCACCGCTAGCTGCCTGCACCTTACTCTGGCTAGCTGCAGCTAGCCACAGCTCCTTGCGGCTAGCTGCCGCTGGTTGCTGCTGTCCACTTCCAGCTAGCTGCAGCTAGCCACAGCCACTTCCAGCTAGCTGCAGCTAGCTGCGACTCTGAGTAAACAGAAGGGAACAGCTGCAGCAGCGCGCAGCAGCCAGCAACCCTAGCTAGCTAGCAGCCCCAATTAGCTACAGCTAGCTAGCTGCTCCACCTAGCTGCAGCTAGCTAGCCGCCCCAGCTTGCTGCAGCTAGCCACGGAAGCGACAACGAACAGAAACGACAGGAAGCAGAATGGAAAGAGACAGACACGGTGCTGCTGCTGCGCCGCTGCTGCTGCGCTGCTGCTGTGCTGCTGCTGTGCTGCTGCTGCTGCGGGCCGGCTTTTCTTTTATTTTTATTTCTTTTATCTCTTTTCGAATTTGCTCTGTCTCTACACCTTGAGGTGTCTATACACCCCGCGGGTGTGGGTCCTAGCCCTTCGAACTCCAAACCCTAAACCCTAAACCCTAAACCCTCGGGAGCAGCGCCGGACTAGTTCAAAACTGTTTGTGTGCTGCCAGCGAAAACCCTAACACTTAAAAAGCTTCATTTCTAATTAACTCTAAAAGTAAAAATTACAAAAATAGAAAAACAAGATTAACAAATCAAGAAGCCGCGCTGCAGCTGCGCTCTCTTGAATTCCTTTTGCAGCTGATCAGCTGCCTCTGCCCTTTGCTGCTGCTGCTGCTGCTGCTGCTGCTGCTGCGGCTGCTGCTGCGCTGCTTTCTGTGCTTCACTGCCAGCTACCGCTATTTCTGGGCCTCTGCGCGTCCTCTTCGCGCTGCAGTACCAGCAGCAGCAGCAGCAGCAGCAGCAGCAGCTGCTGCTGCTGCTGCTTCAGCCTTTTTGCTGCTGGTGCGCTGCAC